AATATTTGAATTCTTTAATATAATAGCATTTGTAACATTTTTAATGTAGTAAAAGAGTCCCTGGACACATATTCAGGATTTGGCATTCCTTTTCTCCTTGTTAATACACAACATGAATTAAAAAACACTGATCTATGTGGCTCATCAGTATATACAGTTTACATTCTTAATTAAGAATGAATTATTGATGATTTTCTTTTTTCTTTTTTTTTTACTCTTCAACTTAATGTTTATTCTCTGAAACAGAATGAGGCGATCTAAAACAATGTTGTAGTCCACTTACCAACTTAGTATGCTTCAAAAGAAGTGTGGCTACAGCTCCCAGACTTCCCAATCATTGACTGTGGCAGTGAAAATTCTAGACATTTAATTCTTAATACAACTTAGAAGACACCAGGTCAGGGAAGACTCTTAGTATAATCCATGTGACAGTTCGTTCTGTACATACTTGAATGTATGCTTATTATGCTGATATCTCCCTCCTGCCAGACACACAGAGTATGCTTTACATCAGAGTCAAGATGCACATTCATCCAAAGTGATGTGGTAACGCTTTTGAGGTCTGATAAAAGATTATGTGTTGCATATTACTTATATCAAAACATTATGTGAAAATAAGCCCATTGAAATTAAAAAAAAAAAATCTGAAAGGCTTCAAACTAATGCATAGCGCAAATGTATGTGATATGTGGTATCTGTATGTTTCTGCTTTATTGCCAAATAACCTAACTTTAAGCACTAATTCTGACTTCTAAAAAGCTTTTGGTTTTGTTATGCGTAAATAAGATTGAAGAAGTAAAAGAGTGCAGGGCTGGTGGGGAATGAATTCTTAGGGGTTTTTTCCTGGCACTGAGATGAACAGAACATAAGTTAGCCATAAATAACTTATGCCATTTCATTTAAAATATGGTTTTAGTCTGGATCAAACCCAACATTTTCATGACAATTGTCTGAGGACAGAGTACCTTCTGCTTTTATTCTTAAAAAGAAATATATATTTAAAATATTTTATTGTATATATTTTAATATATATATGTAATAAATCATCCCAGAACATCCCTTCGGTCATTTGATTATTATCAATCTCAACTAAACTGCATGTAAATCTCTTGCACATAATGTGAGCTGAATTAAGTATGAAACTAGTAGCACAATTATTCAGCTTTACATTCTTGGCACCTACTATATGTTTTCTAAGTAAAATTTACCGTTAATTAAAAGTATGTTTTGCTGTACAGCCCAGAAATAGTTCTGATTTTTAGCTCTTTGTGGCTTGCAAGATCATCTCAGAACTTGCTTATGCTGTGCATTCAGCTGCAAATGGGCTCTTCCAGAACTCCATCCCACACGAGCTCAAAAAGATGGGAACTTGGAGTTGCACCTTCCAATTGACAGTCCCCATATTAAGGAATATTCTGCTCCTTGAGCTAAGTGACACCTGACCTCACATCAGAGGTGGGTTTCAGCAGGTTCTGACCAGTTCTGGAGAACCGGTAGCGGAAATTTTGAGTAGTTCAGAGAACCGGTAAATACCACCTCTGAATGGCCCCGCCCCCATCTATTGTCTGCCTCCCAAGTCCCAGCTGATCAGGAGGAAATGGGGATTTTGCAGTAACCTCCCCTGGAGTGAGGTGGGAATGGAGATTTTACAATATCCTTCCTCTGTCACACCCACCAAGCCATGCTATGCCACCAAGCCACACCCACAGAACTGGTAGTAAAAAATTTTGAAACCCACCACTGCCTCACATGTTGAAAAGCAGTGAAAATGATTTTGTTCAACTGGACATTTGATGTAGACAATGGACCTGGGATGCATCTGTAATTTTTTCGGTATTGTGTTATACTGTTATGAGTTATGATGGCTTTAATTTTTCTATGATTGAAATCACCTTGACTTTGTAGAAATAGAAGGATAAAAGTTTGTTGTTAAACAACATACTGCAACTAATAACTGGCCAGCAGGAATCAACTTATTCCTGGGCCATCATCTAATGAAATTACCACTCAACCTCCCAGTGGCATGACGTGGAAGTAAGAAGATACTGTATATATATGATGAGTCTACAAGGGTAGCGTAGGAATCTGAAAATACATGATAGGCCTATTGGGGCGGAGTGGGGGAGAAGGCTGTCAAATCAAGTTAGAGACCATAGTCATGCAATTTAAAACCCTACCCTTTTATATATATTTATATCATGCACGTAACACATGTTAAAAATGATTGCACAGTAGTGGCTATGGTCTTGATTTTTTTTAATCCTCTTCCCTTCTTTCAGATGCTCCTTTATAGCATTCTTATCAAAATGAAATAAATCTGGGTTGGTCAGTGCCTGGATGGGAGACTGCCTGTTAACTTATGTACTTTACTTTGGTTTCAAATCAGCGCTATATTAATAAATGTAATTAATAAATAAAATAGAAAATATAGTCACAAAGGGGAGTGTAACATTTAGTGGCCCTGAACAGAATCCAAATTCTAGAGCTAGTGACTAACTAACATTAGGACACCGAAATGTAATGTTTAGGGCAAATGAGCTGGTATGAATATGGGAACATTTTAAATGCTCCAGTTCCAACTTTTTCCATGTAAAAATTACTTCCCTTTGTAAGAATCCTATGCTTGCTACGTGTTATTAAGAGAACATCGGAAAGAAACTCACATATTGAACTTTGCTGGTTTTTGTTCCAGCCTATCAAATTGAGTTAGTTATATTCTAAGGCTGAGTTAAAAACAAAGACATAGAAAGTTATAGGAAATTTCGGGTTCAGAAATAATTGATATGGGTCAGGAGATAAAAAAAAGACGCACTCAAAATTCCTAGTTCGTCTTTTCTTTTTACTGCTGTTTGTTTCCACTGAGATTCATCCCAATACCTGAAATTTCCACCTGTAGAATCACCCTACTGCAAGACATTAGATCAGAAGAACAAAAAATAACATTATCAAAAGGTTGCTAAAGAAAGCAATGTTGACTGCCTAGTGAAGGCAGAAGCCTGTTATTACCATTAAATTCAGCTACATTTCATTTCCTGATCTTGACCCCTTGGTAATAGGACAATATTTTTTCTCTGCCTCATCCTCTTCAATAAAAATGGCATCTTTCAAAGATTAAGAACATATTTATTATTTTAATAACCCTCTGATGGCCCCTTATTTTTTTGGTCAGTTTAAATGGATAAAACTGTCTTGTCCATGAATGTGGATTCCAAGACTCAGCCTTGGTGCTGAAAAAGAGAGCATAGGATTCAGTAGTGATAAGAGTATAATTCTAAAAATCTTGTCTGTAAGTGTATACAAAATTTGTACACCAGCTCTTTTATTCCCAATAATTTCACCACTGCAAAAGAATAATCCACATTAGGATATATTTGTATTTTAGAGGATAGCCCCAGATAACAAAACTGCATAATGCAGGAACTCAAATAGAAAAGCTCTGATTAGACAGAAACACCTCTATTTTTTTTTTTACAATCATTAGACAACAGATCCTGTCATGCAGTAATATGGCTTTGTCCATTCAGCATGTGAATTAATTAATACCTAACATATCATCATTCCTCACTAATTCAGCTTTAAATTTTAACATAATGCATTTACAAAAAATGCTTGGAATATGCCAGATCATCTTCTATTTCATGTAGCAGTTCTTTGCAAGCATCTGTGACAATTCATAGCTGTATATTTTCATGATTTGTGGTTATGGATGCTTTTGGTAAATATGCATTTCTTCATAAAATAAGTATGTAATCTCAATTCATGGGGAAATTAAAGAGATATTTTATTTGACTTTATGTTGCTTAAGAAAAAAAATTGTATCATAGTTAGCAGTTTTATTACAATCTGCCAAAGCAAAGTAAAAGTCACATTTATTTATTTTATTTTAACTTATTTATTTTTATCTTGCCTTTATTATTTTCATAAATAATCAAGGTGATGAACATACTTAATATTTCCTCCTCCTTCTATTTCCCCCATAACCACAACCTTATTGGAAGAATTGGTCTGAAAGAGAATGACTTGCTCAAAGTCACTACCCGGCTTTCGTGCCTAAGGTGGGACTAGAGCTTACAGTCTCCTAGTTTCTAGCTTGATGTCCTAACCACTACACCAAACTTGCTCTAATTCAATTATATTTTCTTTGATATGTTTAAGAGGAAGCAATATATAATATTTGTTTGCTTTCTGGGATTCAGATGTAATTCCAAAGTTCAAGATCAATCTTCAATAAAAGTAATAACCTATTGGCTTTCTGAGGGCACAAGCACAAGCACAAGCACAAACATGACTAATATCATTTTCTTGCCATGTTTCCATGATTCATAATCTATGAATCAAACAAGTTTAAGGGGTCCAGGACTGTCCTTGTGTCCTAGCAGTTTCCACCTTATTTTGACGCCCTCCAAAGAAAATGGAAGGTTTTTGTCATCTAGGAGAGAAGTAAGATGATGGGCCCTGCATGGAAACAGAAGGAGTATAGGGATCAACAATGGGTACATGAATTTCATACTTATATAGTGTCTTCTATCTCAAGAATAAGCATCTTAACCCAGTATGGGGGAAAGATCTATAACAGTACTTAAAAGTTTAAATTAACTGGCAATATCCCATTCTAGATGTATTTATGAATGTGTGGGTTTTGTCCCTAAAATATATAATTTAGGACAGTTCTGTGCAAGCTCTTTTGAAATGAATCAAGTAGTATGTAAGATCAGGTAGTCTAATGCAGGAGTCTCCAACCTTGGCAACTTTAAGCCTGGCAGACTTCAACTCCCAGAATTCCCCAGCCAGCTGGCTAGGGAATTCTGGGAGTTGAAGTCTGCCAGGCTTAAAGTTGCTAAGGTTGGAGACCCCTGGTCTAATGTACTGCTTCATCTCAGCAGTCTTGTAGACAGATACTTTCTACTGTTTTCTAAATATTTTATGTTCTCACCCATAAAATACTTAAAATGACCAAACTACATAGGTATAAAATATTTCAATTTATTTTTTTTCCTCAGACTGGGTCTGAGACCTTACAAGGACATGTGGAAGGACAGCCTGGGAGCAATGAAAGAGTTGATGAGCCAGCTCGTCATGTTTTCTCTTTCTCCTGGTTGAACTCATTGAATGAATGATGACTCCTAGTCCAGATGGCATCTGGTGAACTCAATAACAACGAAGAACACATTGAAAATAATAGCGGATCAGATTTTATTTAAGGACTTTATTTTGAAAATCATCACATTGGATCTGACTTTTGTACAATTTGAGCAGGGAAGCGGTGGGGAAGAAAGAGTAGGAGTTAATACCTTGTCATGAACATCAAATTCATACACATTTCTGAACTCATGGCAAATATCAAATGATAACATTACTTGCCCAGTTTGCTTCTGGGCACTGGGATTTGGACATAAGGCTCAATAGTATTTCTAATAGCTGATCTGGGTTATGCCCAAATTATTATATGAATGTGGCAAATGCCCCTACTTATGTTCAAATAAAATTAAAATCAGAAGGAAGGAAGGAATTGAAAAGAATAATATACTTACAAGTAAGCTAAAAACCAAACTAAAATAAAAGTAAAAATTCATTATCCATATTTGTAAATGCCTTAGGCATACTCTTAGTTTTATGTTTGTACTTTATCATTTCTTCACTAAAGATACTGTTGTTAATAAATTTCTCATTATTTGGAAGTTTCTTTCCTGTTTTTGTAATTGAATTCGGTAACCCTGAAATTAAAATATTTATTAAAATATTCATAGATTGTTTAGCTCATAGAATATTACTGCATATATATAAAATTAATAAATCTTACAATTGTTTTAACAGGATCAAAAAGGCAACTATTGGAAGCAATAACAAAAGAAAAAGATAATTAAAATTGATGAAAAGCATAATGGAACAGAAATATTTTTATCTGTTACTTGAGCTTGGGCACAGCTATAATGTTCTTCAGCAGAGAATCCAAAAGTCAGAACACTGCCACAAGGACTCTTGCACAAAAAGGTGACATATATAACAGGACATTTACAGAACGTTAAAGAATTGACATTTATAAGCAAAATCACCAAAATTAATGAGGCACTACTTTTCCTGATGACATTTGGACTCCAGTTGGGTTTTTTTTTTTAATCAGAATTTTCCTATAAACTGTTAGATAGCTGGTTTTGAATGTTTGGAGTTTTCAAAGTAGATTTTTCATATAGTATAAAGAATAACAATTCAAATCAATGTTCAAAATCTTTGCAACAATTATGGTGTATAATGGAATATCCTAAATTGTGACCTAATTGCTGGGATTCTGTTATTTTTAATTCATAGACTTTATGATACAACTAAGTTGAATTCTCATTTTCTACATTTACAATGAACTAAAATGTCCTACACTGAGAATCTATGGCCCTCTAAATATTGGGCATCAACTCCCATCTTCTCTAGCTTGATTAAACAATGATAATAGATTATGTGAACTGTGTCTAAAATCAGGTACAGTGCAACAAGTACCTATATGTATGCCATCACCAATGATTCCTTAGAATTTTAAAAATGTATCTCTTTCAAAGCTTCCATGACTTTTAGTGCAACATCATGGAACCTCTTTAGTGACTAGTAGCCCAAATATTTTTCATGTCTGTGTGCAACCTATTCGTCCATCAAGAAGAAAAAGAATAAATATTTGATTTGAATTTTCCTTTCCCTTTTGATAAAAGTAATCATTTCCTGCTGACAATTGCCTGGATTGAATTTATCTTATACATTTATTCATTTATGCCACCTGTCAATCTAAATTTTGAATTTCATTTTAACATAGACACGGTGATTCTAAAGATCAAAAAGACTGCATATTTCTTTTTGAGAACATCCAAATATATGGAGGAAGGGGGTGAGTTCGATGACGTACAAAGAAAAGAACATGTTGGCTGTTCCTGTGTCTTCTGCCAAATATTAGTGTATCTGTTTTACAGCATTGACACAAAGCTAAGCCTACAAGTAATTCAGACTAACTTAGAGTTAGATGTATTGAGATAAGACACAGAAGCAGGTGCTGGTATCAGGAAGAACTGTTACTTAGTGAAAAATATTTGTTATGCATGCAAAAGTTCTCAGGTTCAAGTCATAGCTCCTTACATAGAACTGGGGTAAATTCCCACTGAAACTTTGGACAGTTGCTGTCAAATTATGTAGAGTGGGTAATAAGTACATCTTGCAGGACACAAAGGGAAACTTGTTAAAAGCCCCCTCGGTCATACAAGGCATGCCCCATCCATAACAGTCATTTAAAATGGACTGGAGAAAGAGAAGAGGAAGGTCACACATCTGCTTCTTCATTGCCACTATGTAATTATATGTGAGAATGACTTTAGAAGACAGGAGGAAGACCCACAGTCTAGTCAACAGAATGATAAAAGGAATCTGAGTCTGAATGTACACTCTTCAAAATTAGGAAGGGCCCTTTCTCAGAGTCTTTCTTCACCCAACCCAGGGGTGAAATCCAGAGCCGGTAGCGGAAATTTTCAGCAGTTCGGAGAACCGGCAAATACCACCTCTGGCTGGCCCCAGAGGGGGTGGGAATGGAGATTTTGCAATATCCTTCCCCCAGGAGTGGGGAGGGAATGGAGATTTTGCAGTATCCTTCCCCTGGAGTGGGGTGGGAATGGAGATTTTGCAGTATCCTTCCCCTGCCACGCCCACCAAGCCACGCCCACAGAACTGGTAGTAAAAAAAATTTGGATTTCACCACTGACCCAACCCCCCTCTATCCTTTGGATTCAGATTTTGTTTATCAGAGAGTTGTTGAGGCTGCATCTCTTCCTATTGTTTCCCAAGGTTGTTCTACATACCATTACGCTCTGCTACAGTAGACTTCAGGCCTAAAATGATCTCTCCTAGCTTCCTCAGCCACCCAAATGTCCTTCCTCATCCTACTTGACCTTCTGCAATCATGCCCCTCTCGCCACAAGTCCCCCATGAACATACTAAGCCAGCAGAAATATATTCTTTCAAGTGTACAATATCTACAAAAATCTGAAAAATTACTACCAGTATGTGCTTTTGTTAGAGTCATGAGGATGAGCTGCTGTTTCTGGGCTATAAAATATTAGTTATGTCAACAAAGTGAATCAGAAAACTGACACTGCTGCTATCTAGTGATTATCCAGATTTTTGTAGCCCACATATGGTGATTGTTAATTGCATAAAGTATGCTTACATATCCATAGGACAAGGAGTTGGTGACAAGAACCTGAGTAGACCTCCCGTGCCTGCAGATCCCAAGGAATATGCTTCCTATATTTTCATTATATTTGCACCACTGAGTGTTGACTGTCATTCCAAAGGCACTGCTGGTTGGAAATATCCCTATAGAAGGGGACCAGATTGACAGCTTATTTTTGCATTTTTATTTTAATTGATTTGACTCCAAACAACTTTGGTTGGCTCACAATATACCAGACAATGTAAAACCAATATAATAAGAAACAACAAGCACAAAACCCTTGAAGTCCCAGTTGTTCCCCAGTACTTGAGTTAGGATAGTTGGAACCCCTTGTGAATTTTGTTTTTGGCCACTTCACCATCTTGTTTTTTTACCTGATTTCTTTTTTATTTTCTGGTAATTTGTTTTTGGATTATAATCTATTTAATCGTTTGGTTAACCTGTGAACTGGCCAGAGGTATTTGGAATCAAGTGGAAAAAAGTAAACTGAATAAATTAAGCTGACAGATCTTTTGTTTTAGATTTTTCTTGATCTGCTGAGCCCCACATACACAGAAATTATAACTCATAGAAATTCAAGACAAAATTCTGAGAGTTGCACTACCAGTCTTTCAAGGGGACACAATTTAGGGAATATAATATTACTGTAGAATAGACACAATATTAGAAGGAGATGTCCAGTGCCTAGGAATGAAAACCTCTTGCTGATTCAGAAGCGGATAATAAGATCATTGAAGCTAGCAATCTTAACATCATTGATGCAGAGAGTACCTGGGTGTTACCAGGCTGGAAGAGCTCTCTATCCATTTCAGGGTTGCTTGGGTTGCTATATATATTGGCTAGATCTTCTATTGAAAAACATACTTAAGGCACACCAAGAAGCTTATTATTCAACAAGAGCACATGCAGACATCCAAAATCATCTGCTTAACTTTTTTTTATCATTGACAATCTCTCCCAAAACTCACAGTTTTGTCCCCCATTTTTACTATCACCACCATTTAATCTTCATCACAAATTGGTGATGTAAATTAAGCTGATAAACAGTAGGCCGGTTGATACCCACTTTCTCCTGGTTCCCACTCTACCTTTTTAAATGACTATATCTCACTGGCTTAAATATTGGGGTAGAAGAAAACATTCTCCGTAATGGACAGATGCCTTTGAAAGATGACAGTTGTTTGGGCTGATTCTGAATTAGCCACCATCCTATGATTTCCAAAAAATTATTTCACTTTCAAAAATGTCTGGGAATTGTGGAAGGAGTTCTGTTTCATTATCTTGGTTTTTTCTTCTAAGCATTTTTGAGAGGTCTGTCCCCTTGTCTAAATATGGACACAAAATAAGACACTTAGCAAAGTCTTTGAAGTGAGAAATAACTCAGCAGTTCTCTCAAACACCTATATTGTAGCTACCAGTCTTTTTGGGGAGGATTTCTAAAGAAAAAGCCTATTCTCATCCCACTCCAGGCCAAAAAATATGCCACATTTCTTTCATAGTTTCCTCTCACTCTAGCCTCAAAAACCTGTAAGCAAAACTCTGATGAAGAAAGGTGGAAACGGTTTGGGGGATGTTTGCCGTGTTATTAACAAGAATGGAGTTTTGCTTGTTTTTTACATGGTTTGAAAGGTAGATCTAAGAATATACGGTATCTTTTTTTAATTATCTGAGGTGACAACAAACACTGCTTGTATTTCTGTAATGCCAAAATATACTGAAAGGAAGTGGGGAAAGCACTGCAGCTTGAATAATATATTTCACCTGGAAATCCACTTTTTGGTTGGATTGTAGTTAGCTGGGTTAACTGGGACAGAGCACCAAAACAGTTACTGCCTGGGGAAAGAATAGGCAGATGGATACATCAAATGGCAACTTTGCACATGCTTTACTCTGCGGCAAATGTAAGCTGCAAAGAATTCCTTGAAATGTAAGGCAGGAAGAACAACCAGAAATTCTTTCTTATCAATTCCAAGATGACAAGCGAGGCAAAAATGACAGCTTTCTCTTCGGAATCATTTTTTGAACCTGGTACCTTTATCCTTTTACCCAAAATCTATAGAGCTGATTGCACTTGTCCAATGCAGCTCCCTATTTTTAATTATTTGTATCTGAGCTAATCTGGAGTTGATATTCTAACAGATGTCAGGCAGTTTAAAAATTAAGATCATCCTCTTTTCAGATGGGCTGGTTCATATCTCCCATTGTCCTCAACTACCTATGGTCAATGGGAGTTATAGTCTGTTGGGCACCAGTTTGGAAAGTTATATCCCCCCCTCTTCATGCCCTTCCCCATTTCAACATCATTTCTTCCCTAAGGTAAATTGAACCTTGGCTGGATGGGTGTACAACCATTATGCCGCATGCTCGGATTCTGTGCATGTGGATGTGTTTTTCTACCCCATATTCCACCGTTAATCCATTTAACAGTCCCGCCCCACCGAAGACCTCCAACCCTCCATTTTTCTGAAATTTGACGTACCGGCAGGCAAGGAAGTGTATGCAAACCAACGTTCCTTTGCAGCTTTTATTAAAAATATAGAGAGATATTATATAGATATAGATAGATATTAAACGTTCTCTTACACAACCAAGTTGACCGAGCGCTGAAAATATGTTTTATTTGTGGAAAGAAATGTTTACAAACAAAAGACAAAGAGGAGTGAAATCGAAATAGCTGAGTACAGAGAGGCTCCGGCCCCCTTCCCCGCCCACCACCAACCCCAGAAGACGCTTCTCGTCCGTCACCTGCTTCCGATGGCCAGACCAACGGACCCCACCCTGGAACGCCTAAACCTGAATCTTGCCTGGGACAGGACGGGTGAGAAAAGAAAAAAGAAGGTACAAACGACGACACTTGGGTACGACGCCGGACATGCTATTCAAGGCTACTTCGATAAAGCTTTCGAATAAAAGAAGGAGGGGGGGAGGGGAAGGGCGCGAGGGAGCGGTGTTAAGGAGATCTAGGTCGACGGGCTGTGCTAACGGGAGGAGCTCTTTGGTCGGGGCCAGGCAAAGGAGAGCGCTTCACTTCCCGATGATTTCCATCAGTTTCCTGTTGCTGTGAGCCTGCTGCGCCAACTGCTCCGCTCGGGCCATCTCCAAGACTTCTCGGAGGAGATGGAAAGTCAGATCCAAGGAGATCGGCGGCTCCTCGGATCGCTTCTCCTTCTCCGTGGCCTGTAGGTGGGCGCCGTCGTCTTCGCCGTCCCAGGAGTCGGGGGCGCCCTCTAACGAGCGTTCTTGGAAGTGCTGCAGCTGCTGCAGCTGTTGGACGACGGCTCGGAAAAAGTTGCCCGCCGACGCGGACGTAGCTAGGTGGCCGCTGCTGGTGCTCGTGCTGGTAGTGGAGGAGAAGGAGCCGGCGGCGGCGGGAGCAGCGGGGTTCTTACGGAGGCTGCCCAAGCGCAGGAAATATTCTTCTCCCATGCGGAGCAATATGGGGAGCGATTGGGGCTGTTCTGTGAAATGTAG